ACCTAACCCTAAACACCCTAATAAATTACCGTTGATAACACGGATTCACTTATCGTTTGTTGCATGAAGCAACGACTGAAAATGAAAATACAACGTAATATGTGGTGAAATGATTGTAAAGTTCCTGAAAAAATTCGATGCAAGCAAACTCACCTCAGTAAGTTTGCTAAGTTTGGGCACTAGACGGCTCTGAATATACAATTTTGAAATCGTTTCAGCTTTGTAACTTAGAAACGGCCTATACAATTTCACCCGAATTTGGAACTTTGCCAAAGCTTCATTGTGTAATGAATCTCATAACATAATTATAATAAATATCATTCCATTGGCATAGAATTTGATTCGTTCAGTGAATGAACATCTGAAACCTCAACGTTCATGAAAATGAAGTGACTTGAATATGACAGTTGGATTGCGTATCTTGTTTGCTACAAAAAGTTTCTCTTGAAAAAATGCGATCACACTTATGGTTTCGACAAAATTTATTTTTCGTGATTTGGAGCATCAGTTCCATGAATATTGTTCGAAATGTTCATAATTTACAAGTATATGAAGATTCATGCGACGAATAAAATGGATACAAGTACACTCACCTCAGTTCAAAATTCCAGCAAAATATGTTACTGAATTTCAAATTTTGTCGAAACCATGAGGGTTATCGAATTCCATCAGAAATAATTTTTCGTAGCAGTCAAGTTACGCAAAACTCTTTCTTTTTCTATTGGCGTAGGAGTTATAGATGTCTATTCACTGAGAAAAATCAAGTTATACGCCCATCGAATGATGATAATCATAATCATGATATGGAATTCAATGTCCAATGAAGCAATGCCAACGTACAAAATTTGAGTTGAACCTCATGAGCTGTTTCAAACTTATGAAGCAAAAACGATTTGAAAATTGTGGATTCAGAGTCTAAGCCCAAACTAAACAACTCTATACTGAGATAGAATTGTCTATATGTGGTAAATTTTTGATATGACCTCTTTGGGACACCCTGTGTAGTGTATATTGAGAGTGGAACAATCTGAACAAAATCAATTCGTTTTATTTATGACCATCAAAAATGATTTTTCTCTTTCGGCAAAAGAATATGTTGCTTGGAAACCATACGCGTGCATAGCGAAGGTATTTGTATTTTGATATTCATCAATACATCTGTTGTAATACATACAAAAACCTCGTTATTTCATTTTACCAGCACTAGCTATAGAATCCATCATTGTTTACTACTTTTCAAGGCGTGAAGTGTGTGCTCTACTACCAAGGAGTCGTCATTTTATGAACCACTAGTCAATGAAGACTATAGCCACTTTTCTGATGCGAGATTCACAGGAATGAACCTCGAATCTAGTAGGTATTTATCAATAACGACTTGAAATACATTGCTAGGGGTGAAAACAAATCAATATCTTCCGCAGCGTGTAAGTAAGAGTTCAAGCGAAATCGAGGACTAACACGCCTAGGTCAATAAAAGCAATTCATGACCAAAATACATATACTACATTTCACGCACGACCATTCATGACATTTATTTAATGTCGATATGGAATTGATTAATGAATTCGAATTTATATGGCAAAATTATATATTCCACTGACGAAGACAGATCGAATGGTGGTCTACTAGAAATTACTGGAAAAACAGTGAAATTACTCCATATAGGTATACCGCCCAATCACCTATTTGATTGCCTGCCAGACAACTCCATTGCCCGCCAGAATACGTTACTGCCCAATGTTCTCTTTCATCGTCCAAGAACGATAAAGTGCCACAATACGCCCAGCCGTTCATGCATAATATCACAATCACGAGAAAATATACCCTTATGATAATCTTCACTACCTTGGTACACTACACTGTTTCACCACTAACCAAACCTTTTTCTCAAATGCCTCGACACGTGTTTCGCTAACTATGTCAGCATCTTCAGGAGAAGATTTAAACTGAATATCCTATTCTAGTGTGCTCCTTATGATTCAGGTATAGTCGTATTCAATAAAAAAGCGTACAAGTATTGAAAAGAGAGGATTTCGGGATCCTTGTTCTAGTTGTGTGAAACTGGCTCAGCCAATGCTTTGTGTTTTCCAGAACCTATGACAACTTTACTGTCAACATTTGGTAAACAATCATTCCCGATAGCCCGTTTTATGCAGAATTGGATGACGTTAATTTCTCTCTGTAATATACTTTTTCGCTTTTTTCTAATGCGACTGTATATGTTCACCCAACCGTGAGAAATTCTAACCGTCAAGTTAAAGTTTGTCATGATTGAGTTCACATGTTGATTCCAATTTTCATATCACTGAACTATATAGAGTGCTATACGGAATAGGTCCATTATCCTTATTCATCACTCTATTACCATTCTTGAATATCTCTAAGTTTCCATATGCGTCTGATTTTCTAATATTATTAACTAGCTCAACTAATTTGAGGTTAGTAATATGTGTGTTATGATTGTGATTGAACATATGTTCGGCTACACACAATTCATCTGACCTGCTATATTCCGAATGTGCTATGTGTTCTTTGTACCTCGTTTTTATGGGTCGCCTGGTTCAGCCTATATATGTTTTATTAAATTTCTCAATTTTGACTTAGACTGATAAACGCTTTCAAAACCTAAGTCTTTTGAAACCTTATCAAGTCCCTTCGTAATTTTGGGATTGAACGGGATTGGGATTCTTCTAGAGTCATTTTCATCCACTTGAAAAGTCGTAGAATTTTCAAGTGCTAACTTAAATTTATGTCTACGTATTAATTTATCTACCATTTTGATATATCATAGCCATTGACGCCAGCCACTTCATGAACAACACTTCTTTCAGCATCGAATCTTCCTTTGCTCAGAGGGAATGCGATTAACCTATGTACTAGGAAATTCAAACTTGCCATTTTGTGCTGAAGACCGTGATTGGAGTCATTAGGTATGTATCTTAATGTGTTACTCTTATAGCACACAACGTCCTAGGAACGTCCCTATTTAGTACAATTCAAGTCTGAATGCCCTGGACCAAATATAAGTGTCCCATCCCGTACATCTCATGCAATGTACAAGCAAGGACGTCCACGGAATGTCGCAGCTGGTTCATAATTTTCAATGTTCTTGAAATAGCATCCCACGTGGTACATATTGTAGAATGTCCATGCAAGGACGTCCTTGGCATGTCCCTTATGGGATGTGATTTTGAACGTTCCTTCAGAGACATCCATCGGATGTCCCGAGTAGTACATATTCTGGCTTGACTTCAGATCTTTTATAATGTCCCTTCTAGACAACCGTGATGTCCCTGATAGTACATTCCTTAAAATATATCTGCACAGACGCCCTCAATATTTCCAGGATCGTAAAACAATCAAAATGTTCCTTAGGAACATCCTTCGAACGTCCCTTAGCGATTTCTGTCATATCTCCCAATTGGTACATGAACTGTACTCTATCAATGTCCTAGAAATAACGTCCGACGGACGTCCCAGTCGGTACTTTCAATATGTTGTTTCTGCGAGGACGTTGACTCACACCTCGCCAACGAATGATTGCTCGTAGGCTATAAATACTCCTTGTCAATGTCCTTCACGTAAGTCCATTGGATATCCTTAGGAAACTTTTTCTGGATCTATTGGAGACCTTCTACGGACCATCAACGCAACTGAATGTCCTCATCAGTTATGCAAGATCTGGTTCTAGAGGGAAAAATTCAAATTCAAGAATAATTCGTACGTCCCTGGGACATCCTATGGACATCCAATTGGTATCTTCCAGCGTTGCTGATAGGTTGTCCTACGGATATCCGAAGGATGTCCTCCGTAGTGGTTGATGGGGAATACTATAGGATTTAGGTATTTGATAGTTGTCCCAGGGACATCCCTCAAGGACGTCCCTAGTTGGTCCTCAAGTGAGACATTTGTGCGTCCCACAGACATCCAGAGGATGTCCACGTTACCAAATTCGAACGTTCTATGTACGTCCTGGATGTCACGACAGGACGTCTTGAGGATATCCATGGAACGTAATTGTGTTATTAGGGTAGTTTGTTTTCTCAAATCATCAAATTCTGAGTTGTTTTCGCTATTTTTGATCACAAGTACTTCTAAGAAAGGTAATATGCCATCATTTTTGCATTTATAAGTGAATTCGATAGAGAGAAAGCAGTTATTCAATTTTGAAATGAAGTTACCTATATCTGTGGTTCTTGCATCAAAAATAGCAGAAATATCACCCACATTTCACATCCAAACCTTAGGGAAATGCTCGAATTTTTTTTTTGCATTCGCTTCAAATCATTTCATGATCAATTCAGCCAGGAAAGGCGATACACAATTTTCCATAGCTGTACCTTCATGTTGTTCAAGATATTCTCATTTTTATTGAAAAATATTTTGGCTCATGCAGAGATGAGTGAGATCAACCAATTCTTCAATTTTATCTGGATCTAGGTTGTTGTAATGATTGTGATAAAACATATATAGGCCAAACCAGGCGCCCCATAAAAACAAGGTACAAAGAACACATAGCACATTCGAAATATAGCAGGTTAGATGAATCGTGTGTCGCCGAACATAATATGTTCAATCACAAATCAATACACATATATCACTAACCTCAAATTTATTAAGCAAGGTAATGATATCAGAAAATCAGACGCATATAAAAGCTGAGAGATATTCAAGAATAGTAATAGAGTGATGAATGAGGATAATGGACCTATTTCATTATAGCCCTCTATATATTTCAGTGATATAAAAATAGAGATTAACATGTGAACTCAACAATGACTGTTGGAAGAACATATTCCTAGTATATAAACAGAACACTAGATTAGGATATTTAGTTTGAATCTTTTCCTGAAGATGCTGACAGAGTTAGCGAAACACGTGTCGACGCGTTTAAGAAATTGGTTTGGTTAGTAGTGAAACAGTGTGGTGTTTTATCGTGCCAATGGTTCCAGTTTCCGATATAACACTACTTTGATGTATAAATGACTATTTCTTTGCAGGTGGTGACCGTGTCCAGGGCCAGCGACCTGTGGCCCCTGGCGCGGCCCGATGGCATGCCCGCCATCCAGTCACTGGAGGTGATGTGCGGCAAGGACCACATGGACGTGCACTTGTCCTTTTCGCGACCCTTCGAGGGCATCGTCTCGTCGAAGGGCCAGCACGGCGACCCGCGATGCGTCTACGTGCCGCCCGCGTCTGGCCAGACGGTCTTCTCCTTCAGGATCGCGTACGCCAGGTGAATTAAACACTAGAGTAGCGGTTATTCACCTGTGAAACATATCATCATCATTTGCGGTGATACCATAACACACGCTTAGATCGTGAGAACATACCTAAAATCAGCACCATTACGTGCTGCCCGCGCGTTTTTTCAGACGGTTTTCTTCTTTAAGATCGCGTACGCCATGTGCAAAATGCACTAGTGTAGCCAGGCAATATTCTCCTCCAGGATCGTGAACGCCAGGTTAATAATACACTAGACCCACTAGAGTAGCGGTTCTCAATATATGGTACATATTATTATTATTGGCGGTGATAAGGTAGGCTTGAGACGTGAAAGCAGGCATAAAATCACTACCTGCCACTACGTGCCGTAAGTTTTGGGCTAGATAATCTTCTTCTTCAGGATCGCGTACGCCAGGTAAATAAAACACTATCGTAGCGATTCACAACCTCTGTTGATAGTTATTTATGCAACAAGTGCAAAAAGTGAATGTTTTTGCACTCGAGTCTAGTGCAATAATCAACTTTTGCACGAGTTGCATACAACATTTTTTCTACGTTCATGCAGAAAGCGAAAAAAGAGTTATTGAGGTGCGGCACTAAGTACAATTCTGTTAATTGTCAGAATCAATTTTTGACTGACGTTTCTATAACCACAGTTGCAATACAAAAAATGTTTGTCATGATGACAGCACGTTGAAGTAGAATGAAAGATGAGTGCAATAAAAACTTTATTGCACTAAGTGCAAGAATATTATAATCATTTGCGGTGATATACAAAAACACGCTTAGAAAGTAAAAACAAACCTAAAATCAGCACCATTACGTGCCATCTGCATCGGGTCAGACGGTATTCTCCTTTAGGATCGTGTACGCCAGGTAAATAATACACTATAGTAATGGTTCTCAATTTGTGGTAGGTACATATGATTGATTATTTGCGGTGATACACAAAAACACGATCAGAACGTAAGAACATACCTGGAACCAGCACCACTAGGTCAGGATCGCAGACGCTAGGTAAATAATGCACTATAGTAGCGGTTCTCAATCTGTGATACACATTATTATTTTTCACCACTAGCTGTAGAACCTACCATTATTCACTTCTTTTCGAGGTGTAAAGTGTGTTTTCACTACCAAGGTAATTTTCGTTATTGTATGAACCCATATACGTATTAATAAACAATACGGATCATAACGGGTGCCAGGATGAAGCGAAAAAAATGAAACAAATGAATATCCATAAGGATTTGGTGGCATGATACGCATGCGCCATGCGCTATTATAGTAGTCATCAAAGACATGCGTTTCGGTGGACAATGACGTTAACTAGCCTTTCAATCAAAGCAGTATGTGTCTGATCGTTTCAAAACTTTTCCTTATGGATAGTCATTTGTCTTCAAAAATCGGCTTCATGATTCGCTATGGAAACAGATAGAGATTATCCGTATTGATTATTAATACGTATATGTATGAACCACTAGTCAATAATGACATAGCCACCTCTGGTATAATTAACCCGAATTCACTGTAATGCGATATTCGTAGAGATGGAACTCGAATCTAGTTCGTTTTTATCAATAATGACTTGACATATGCTGTCATAGTCATGACTATTATTTTAATTAGAATTGAAGGGAAGTACCTCGATAGTGAAAATTGGTCCAAATTTCAAGTGACATTTTCTTATTGATTCTCCTTGCATCGCTGTTTTTCTATCCCATGGATACCGCAAATATAAATTATGGGCCTACTTTGAGAGCAGTAGCCTGAATCATACAACTTGAATACAGAGTGATTTGAATTGATAGTTTGATCATGTTAAAACAGTGTTTGAACAGTCTAGTTTTATCACAGTTCACATACTGCCGTTTTCTTTATGAACCATCTGTTAATGTTTCATACATGAAAAAAATACAGAAAGTTCAAAACTACTGTGTTCGTTTTATTTCCGGACTCCGTAGATATTATCACGTTAACCGAAAACTGAAGAAACAGAACTGGTTGATTATGGAAAATCGTAGGAAGTTACTTTTAGCAACTTACTTGAATAAGTTGATGTTGAAGGGTTCCGAAGATATCAGAAATAAAGATACAATAACCATTCCCCATCATTCGACAACTCTTTTTCAAGAAGTATGTACTTAAAATGCTAATAAATCGTAGAATTTACTACCTGCTGAACTGACAGAATGCAGTGATAGTACCTTCAGATATCGGTCAGGGCGAAAAATCATAGCATGCCTTCAGTTCACACTGGTTTGATATATCAATTAATTCAATTCATTGCAAAATTACAAAATTGATGTCTTTTCTTCTTTCTTATGTCTAAGTTATTAATAGTTAATAATTTCGAAATTCCTACTACCTTGAGATACTTGTATGTTTTCTCAAAAAGGAGATATTGGAGTGAATCAGAAACCATTATGATGAGAAGGGTCACATTTCAATCCAAAAACATGATGGAGCTAAGTAACTCACTTTTGCAAGAGAACGTTGAGAAGTTAAGGGTGGAAGAATTTTTCATTGTATGGATCAAACCATCAGATTTTTTGAGAATTCAAATTCAGTCTAACACTCCAAAACATGAATCTACAATTTTGTCGAAATAAAAAAGTCACGGGGCGATCAATTTGTCTAAATTTTTGACTGGTCGGTTCCTTTCCTAGAATATTCCCATAAGTCGAAAGGAATACTGAAGAAGACTGGAATCTTTGGCACGATAATACACTACACACTGTTTTACCACTAACCAAACCGATTTTTACGATAGATATGTGAACATCTTCAGGAGAAGATTGAAACTAAATGCCCTATCCTAGTGGGCTACTTATATACTAGGTATATGTCCACCCAACCATAAGTAGACATACGATTACCGCCAATTTATGGTTGAGTTCACCTATATAGAGGGCTAAATGGGATACTTTCATTATCCTATTCATCACTTTATTACTATTCTCAAATACCTTTGAGCTTCCATATGCATCTAATTTTCTGAAATAATTAACTCGCTTGACTAATTTGAGGTTATTATTATGTGTGTTATGATTTTGATTGAACATGTGTTCGGCTACACACGATTTATGTAATCTACCATATTTCGAATATGCTATGAGACAGAATGATTGTTGTTAGGGTTATTTGAAGTTCCGAAAACTTCAATAAATCACTTTAAAATGTTGTGAGTAGGAAACCCAATTGCAGATAAGATTGATCTCATTTTCTTACCGGGTTTGTGAATTTTTTGTAAACAATATGAACTAGGTACACTTGGGTTATATATTTGTAATTTACATTCGTTATGTGATGTACTGAGGTTTGGACAATTATTCAAAGTTGATTTGACCTGACTGACCATTTTTAATTTCCTTTCAACATGTGAATTCAACCATAAATAACATCAACTTGACGGTTATTGTCTATTCACGATTGGGTGAACATATACCTAGTATATAAGTAGCCCACTAGGATGGAGCATTTATTTTTAATCTTCTTCTGAAGATGCTAACATAGTTAGTGAAACACGTGTCGAGGTGTAAGAAATCGGTTTGGTCAGTGATAAATCAGTGTGTAGTATAAGAATATGATGAGGAAATCAATATAATATTTGGTGCTGCTCGGGATTCAATTACCGGAATGAAATTTCTTTTTTCTTCTTCTACTTCCAGGTGCGGCACCAAGCCCGACCTGCACGGCCAGTTTTACGAGAACACGGTGGTGGTGCAGTACGACCAGGACCTACTCGAGGTGTGGGACGAGGCGAAGCGGCTGCGCTGCGAGTGGTTCGACGACTACGAGAAGACGGCCTCCAAGCCGCCCATGGTCATAGCCGACTTGGATGTGGTTCAGCTGGACTTTCGAGGTGGGTGTGAAGACAAAGGTCTAGCCAAACTACTGAGATACATCCTATCTAGACTACTAGTAGTCATATCTTAGCAAAACGAAAATCTCACCCGAATTGCTCGCCTGAAAACGTTTTTGCTCAATACGCATGAGCCCCCAGTCTGTCATTTATGACAGCGACTTATGTTCCTTGTATATATCTATCTATACAGTGAGCAGCAATATTATGGAACAAATTCATTCAAAAGTCAGGCCTGTGTTTTTTGGGTAAACGCTCGGTCAGGTCGAATTGCTACGAATCATTCGACATATATCCTGACTAATTGTTACGTTCAGGTTGAATTAGATTTTAAAATTGAATTTCAATTTCATGCAAATCTCAAATGTATACTAACAACTGAAACTTGACTTGTTCCACAAGATTCTCAAAGAGGAAACACAGGCAATAGAGTTGCATCTGAAAAAACCACGTTGACGGTGGGTTCAGCCACTCCTGCTAGAACTTATTCTCCATATTACTCGCGAAATGTAGGAAAATATATTCAAACGTTGAAGTATGTCGGAAATTGAAGAAGGAAATATCCTTGCTAGTGAATTCATTGCAGTTCAAGCCTCCTCCATAGTGAAAATTTCTATTTATGTTAATTGTTGTATGCATTTCCCTATTATTCAATTTTGTGAACTAACCTAACTTTGTCTTTATTTTCATGAAGTAACTGATTCATTGATTGTACGAGTATTCCACTTCAAATAAAAGTTGATCTTTGATTTTGAAATTGCAATTCTCAATTTCTAAATTCAAATTCTATCGCTGCGAGAATATCAAACATTGAACTCCCTAACATATTGATGCATGATACAAGATAGGCGTCTCAAACTCGTCCTCTTCGCGCATGACGTCACGCGGAGAGGAAAATTTGAATTGTTGTAATGGGTGCATATGGAACTCGCATAATTAAACGATTTCTCGTTGTTCATGGAATGAGAATAAGTATTTTAGCTCGATGTCTGATAATGAATACTTTGATGATTATGTTTCTAACAAATTCTGTGTCTAAAAATCGATTTCAAAATTCATTTTAGTTAACAAATGTGCATGGTCAATAGATTAGGTATCAATGATATTTGAGAGTATGGAGGAATGTTTAAGATTCATTTATATAAATCGAAAAAATGTAGGTAGGTATAGGTAAGAAATGAAAATTAGGATCATTTTGTAACTTTTAATGACTTTTTCGAGATAATGACTGTTCTCACAACTTTTGGTTCGAATCTCTCATTCTAAAAAACATTCTTGATCTGAAGATTAAGTTTTTGATGCTTTTACTTCAATCAACATTTTTAGAAATTTCAGTGAGGGTACTCAAATAGCCTCTACAAATTGATAAACTATCATCAGGATTGGGATTATTGAAAATGTCTTCTATTTATAATTGTGTCATTCTGCTCATGAACTCTTTGGTTGGTTTTTATAAACCTCCTTCTGACAAATGATCAACCCATGATGAATCATGACTGGTTGAGGTGAAGGTGGAGGCAGTGGGTCCTCCTTTCTTCAACTTATGGCAGATGAAACCTGCCAAGTTTTTCAATCCATCATATTGGATGTCATCCAGCTCTGTAATAAGAGCATCTTCAGTGTTTTGTTTAGGGATGTTCAAAGTTGGAATAGCATGTGGCTTCAAGAGCCTGAGGTTTTTGGCTTTATAATTCAGCAGGTCATGCCTCAAGTTTCTTTTAAAACTTTTCCTATCGAAATGCTTCGAACAAAGTCTTGCAGTATTCACAGTGAAATTTTCTTGACGTCTGCAAGCAGTAACCCAAAGTTTCTGCATGTTTATGTCACTAGGAAAGCGAAAAAACATCATGTCCTTATGAAAAGTATTTGACTGATTATCTGAATTGCACCCAGCCATTGCACACCGCATTTTTATTCCAAAAAATTCGAAATATTCAATTTTAAAGCACGAAATTAACTATTATTCACATGTAATAATACGAACACATTGAGATGTTTACTCTCCGCGTGACGTAGCAATATGGCCACGAAGCTCCGCCAACCTGCGCAATATAATATCTTGTATTCCTTGAATCATGATATTGATGCAATTTTCAAGATCTTGCATCTGTCAAAAATGGACGAGTGGACTCAATATGAATCATTGGCATTCAATAACTACACTGTGTCGTCATGGACCTGAATTAATTCTTGAAGCACACACTTATTTTATGTTGATAATGAGTGTATGCGTTGTTCTAAATTGTTCAATTTTGGACCTCATTTCAAACCTACGGTCATGGCGACTATCTGCCGATACTCCGATTAAATGGTGACGTCAGCTTATATGCTGGTGCGTTAATTATCAAATAAGAATAAGAAACCAATTATAATCAAGTTATCAAAAAGATGTAAGAGTCCTGTCATTGAATGGAACATAATAGGAGGAACCCATGATAATATAGTGCATTCTTGACTCTTTCTAACAACCAGCATATCCAAATATTTCTAATACTCCATAACACAATTCTATGTGAATGTTGGAGAGTTGGCAACATTGTGCTGGAAGCTGAGAAGGAATATGACCACACTCACAAGTCGTTCGCGCGGTTATGTCACGTTCACCGCTTCAAATGTCATCTAGTGTGGATTCATAAAATTACTATTTACACAAATGTATAATATGCAATAAGCTACAAATCATCAGGGATCATTTTGAGACAACTGATTCAGTATTGCTAAATAGGAATATTACCAATATATAATTGAGAATTATTTAACTTTTGAATAAATGATATTTCTGAAGCTCCCAATCGTATTTCAAGACATGACAACTGTGCTATGGTCTGCCCATATCGTGACATCAGTTTTTACTCGCGGTAATTTTCCGTTTGAATTGATGATTTTATCATCTACACATTGACCGGAAAATTCTGAAACAGTATCGAATCGAAAGGTATTTCAGTGATGATTCTATTCGAGAAATTGAAAAGATTAGTCCATTCGCCTATTGGTTGACGACAGATCGAACCGTTTGTTCATCTAACTGTGACGAAGACGTTTTATTATTATATTGATTCAACAACATGATGTAATCATAGGTACTGGACGTCCACTCGATCACCATGACCATCCACGACTATATACTTACTATTCGCGAATAACCCGATGATTTGCACGAATCTCATTTTTGTTGATGACAGGTTACGAACACAGCCACTTCGCTGCCATCGAGCGGTCAAACAATGATAGATGAACGCCGACAAATGCAAGCTATTATCACTCAATCGTGATATCAGTGTTTCTGAGGTCGCCGTTGAACTGAATAATATCGCACAAATTTCATACATTGTTTTTGATTACGAAATATGATACTTATCTTATATACAGGGTGTATGTAAATAACACCGAACAAATTCGAGGGGTGATTTCTTGTGCTAGTTCAGCAAATATTGTTTATATAAACATATGTCCTAACTTGCTTCGTTTTCGAGATACAGAGTATTGATATCTCCATGAAAAATCTTTTTTCAATACATTTCACAATTGTCTCATCATCAATTTCAATAAAACGTTGTGGTTTCGTAAATAGTAACATGGAGCTTCTTCTTGTGATATTAGATTCGAAATAATATCTCTAGTGGCGTCACAGTGGGCGAATTTTCCGATATTTATGGTGAATGTCATTGTACGCCACTGGTTTTAGTGAGTTTCATATTTTCATTAAATTGAATTATTGGAATGACATTTTTTTTTCCTGTGTATCTTTTTGTATCTATCTGTGAATTCATTTTTACTCCAAATATCAATGTAGGCGTATTCGAGACTTCCATTGAGCTGTATTTCAAATGGAAAAGTCAAGATGGCGGATCCCTTTGAGGCAGAATAGTTTTGTAATTAGGATCTAATTATATTCAAAGTTGGTATCTAGGGGGTTTTTGAGGCGAAGATTATGGGTTCTTCTTCAATAAATCAAAATTCAAGATGGTAGATTCAATATAGCAGACGATTTTTCTAACTATGATCCGATACTATCAAAAAATCCTGACTATTTGAAATTTTTATATAGTGGTTTTCGGGGTCGGAGATTATGATTTCACTGTCGATATTCAATATTTCAAGGTGGTGGAGTCAATATGACAAACGAGCTCTGTGATTAGGATCCTATTCTATTCAAAATGGGTGACTAGGCGTTTTCGGAGTTGAAGATCATAATGCTTTTGCCTATATTCGGAAAAAGCAAGATGGATAATTCAATATGGCGAGCAAGTTTTGTAATGATGATCCGATTATATTCAAAATTGGTATCTGGGGGTTTTTGGGGACGGAGATATTGATTCCTTCGTCACAATTGGAAAATTCAAGATCGAGCGTTCGATCCTATATAGCACTCGACGTCCTGGGTAACACCCAAGTACATGACTTTGTTCACCTTTTTTATATCACTGTCATTCAATCTTGGAAGTGAATTTCCATCATTTTGATCTTTATGTTATCCTAATAACATCCATTTTGATATATTCACGTTCACCTTCAGCAGATTTGCACAGCAATATCTATACACCCTTTCAGGACCAGCGTTCACAGTATCAACACACTTAAGTACATCATCACTACTGAATAAAATACAGTAGGGTGTCGCAAATAAGTGAATTCCACATCCTTCTGCTATGGTTACGATATCATTTGAATATATGAGGAATAACAATGGTCCCAATATAGACCCTCAGGGTACACCAATATCATTTTGCCTTTCATCTGAATGAACTTTATCTAGTTTCAACCTTTGCTTCCTATTGCTCAAATAATTCATGATCCAGTTAAGTGCTATTCCATAAATACCTACGCTCTCAATCTTTCTTATCAGTCTACCTTTATCTACAGTTTCGAAAGCCCTTTGCAGTTCAAGAAATACTGCAAAAGTATACTGATCCATTTCCGCACTTCTCTTCCAATCTGTTTAAAAAAAAACTATATGTTTGCTCCGAAAACCCGATTGATATTTTCTCAGGACTCTTCAAATAATCCACTATCTGCTTATATACAGCCTCTGCCAATACTTTTGTGTAGCATTAATCATGTTCATTGGCTTCAATTGAATAGCTTGGTTCATTGGCGTATACAGGATTTTGGTTTGGGAGGGGGGGCTGTGTTGAGGAAAAGTGGTGACCAAAGAAAAGCGCCGCAGGTTGAAAACATTTTTCGGAGCCACGCCCAATTTATGTCCGTAATTCATCCTGAACATACCGAAACGTTACGCGGGTATTCTCTTTTGTCGGCTGTCGGGACGGCAAAAATTTTTGCATCGAGGTGCGAGTTTGCACTTATTCGCTTTTTGATTGTGAGATGGAGGAATCTTGTTTTCCCTTTCTCTCCTGAGGAAGGGAGTATGGCGGAAATTCAAGGTGCAGCACTGATTCACTTGACACATCGCTAAAACAAACTTTATTTCAATTGTTTCACAAAAAATGTATACATAGATCAAAACAAAATTGACAATAGTTTAACAACGTACATAAGCTGCCTCACCATGAAAAATATCTATAATATGAACGAATTATAATGAAAACTAAGGAATGCAGACTATTTGATCAAACAAAAAAAAAATAGTGAAGAAATAGTCAAAATGGAAAACAAATTATTAACAAATGTTTAAACGACGAGCTTTTTGGCTCATTTCATCCAGTACTTCTTCTATATCTATTTCAATTTCATAATTCATATATAATAAGGATAACGAGGTTAATCTTTTTTCCCCAGTGCTGTTGCGCAAATAGGTCTTTAGCCGTCTCAGTGTTGAATAACTCCTTTCTGGAGTAGCTGTTGAAACCGGAATAACGCAAAATATTTTCAATAAGATATATATTTGGGAATAATTCTTTACGACAATTTACTAACATCTCCATGGTCGAAAAAGATGAACCAAGAAACCCTTTCATTTCCCTTTTCCACATTTTGAATTCAGCTTCCGATTGTACCAAATTGATGAAACTTCCGTTTTCAATTAAGTCCGATTCATAAAATTCAACAAGGCTCTTTTATTAGAAAACTTGCCGTGATGGGGTGGGGGCTGCAGCCCGGCAGCCCCTCCCTTGGATACGCCTATTCAATTCAGTTGGTACCTCACCTCTCTCTGAAGAACTGTTGATAGTGTTGAACTATGGATTACAAATGGCATTAAAACACTTTTTTCTACAAACGTCAAAAAATGACAGGATTTGCGCATTGATAACAAATTGCGAAGTGACACTTTTTTTCAGTTTCCTATGTTACCATGATTCCTTGCACAAAACAATGCGCGAAGTAAAACAGTGCGCGATGTACCTACTTCGCGCATTGTTATGTAAAATATATGAGATATTTATATTTCAGCTTTATGGTCCTCAATCGAGCAGACATTCACAAAATCATTCATTTCTGAATGTTCAACAATAACTTCGTTTTTTCTCTTGGAGCGCACGAAAGGAAATTCCTATTATGTTCTTGGAACATCGTGCGTACCTAGGGAGAATAGGGGGAGACCTTTCAAGCCGGTTCAACACATTTTTTATATCAAGCTGAGCATATTTTCACTTCAGAACTATATTTTTTGACGTTTGTAGAACAAATTTTATTTGCAACTCGAGCGCCAAATACTTTGGTCATCTCGACTATTTTTTTTAACTAGGCTACGCCTCGTTTAAAAAATCAGATCTCGATCACCAAAGTAGCATTCCGCGCTCTAGATACAAAAATAACTATTTCAGAACTTCTACACAAATCTCATCGGGACTACTTTTATTTTTCAAAGCACCAATAATTCTTTCTAGATCTACCTAATTGATAAGACTGAAGTTGGACAATTTATTATGAGTTTTTCTTTCAGTTATAGGAAAGCTATGAGAAAAATGGTTTTCAATTCCATCAGTTATAAAAGTCATATCAGAAATTATGTATCCATTGCCCGAATCGATAGTTGGAAGATTATATTCTTTGTTATTATTCGCTAATAATGTTTTCAATGTTT